GAATCTAAGCTTCTTTTCTGGCCTTGTTCCTCTCAAGAGGTCTCTTTTAGGACCTCTTGGCCTCCCACCATTGAGTTCTACTTTTATCAGTGATGTTGGTGTGTTTCGTGGTGTCTTGTGCCACGTTAGGTTTTTGCTGACACAGGAAATGCAACAGGATCGCTGTGTAATACCTGATAAGTCTTCACTCTGAAAAATGAGGTTGTGGGAAGAAGGGAAATGACAAAAGCAACAAACGTATGCCCTCTGAGCCGTTATAGCGTGTATCTGATCTCACTGATATTCCGTGATGTGCTTTGAAATAAAATATTACAGATATTTGTAGAATTGACGTTTCGATCCTATTGCCTGTGCTTGCACAGAATTCCTCTCTTGCCTATAATATCTTACAGCATCTCTCATTAACTGCTAATCTGTCTTCCTCTTGTTTCAGGGAACTGTACTGAAAAACGGCACGGAAACCTTTGAAGCCTGGGAGGATCCTCCTCCACCAGTCTACATGCAGTTCTACTTTTTTAATGTGACAAACCCGTTAGAAGTGCTTCAAGGCGATACTCCTCTTGTAGAGGAAATAGGGCCATACACCTACAGGTAGGACCATTTCACTATTTTCACATTTCACTAAACCTGTGGTGTGTGAGGAAGTCAAGAAGTGAGATCTAGAACACTTGGGACCTCATTTTAGGAGAAAATCTAGCTGTTAATATGACTTAAAAGTTTATTCAAGGGGGCAGTTTCACATTGAGCCAGTGACTTTTGTCAGCTTTGGGGCAAGATTTGGCTTGTGTGCTGATGTTCCTTAGCTGCTGAGCACAGAGGAAGTTGTTTGCATCCTTGGTCTTGTCTTATGAGAGAAAAACCAGTGACTGGTTGGGTCGTGTTGTAAAGTCTGGGGAGAAGAGTGTTGCACAAAGTCATGATTCATGTGTTCACTCAGGAATCAGTTCCTAGCTCAAGTTGCACAATTCAAACTTGGTGAAAATGTGGCCAGAAAACCAGTTAGAGGGTGGTACTCTGGGCTTCCTCAACCAACTCTCACTGTAAAACCCACTTAGATTCAGACTTCTCTAGCGTTTTTACAGACAGACTTAACCAAGGCCACGTGCAGTGTTGGAGCTTATCCAGCCTCTTGAACTCTCATTCTGCATGCTATGACTGAACCATCCTGAGTCTGCTGCACGTGGAGAGATTTTAAGGTCACCTTAACAAACGAGTTTTCCTTTAGAGCTTCATTCTGCTCTGCTGCACACAGGAGCATAAACTAGGAGCAGTCCTGTGGCAGGAGATGTTAGAGTCTTTGAAGTCGTGGAGGTATGAGACTATGGTAAAAAGGTTGATGTGTCCTTGTCAGGCCCACTTCTGGTCACGCGCGCTCATTAAGAAGGAGTTGTCTTTGCCTAAGCAGCAAAATAGTTAGAATCTGGTTCTTGGTATTTGAAAAAAACGCTGTGGGGTAGAAGGGTGAGCCTTTGGGGTAGCCTTGGTCTCTGCACTATGCCTAGCACTTCTGTTTCTTTCCTCTCACACTTCAGCTTTGCTTCCCTCTCTGTCAGCAATCTTTTCCCCGTCTCCTCTGTATTTCAGCACTGTGTCCGTTTAGCCTTGGCAAACTACTTGTGCTCCTTCGACAAAATACCTTGTGTTAGATAAACGAGTAGAGCTGCAGAAAAGATACGTGAGCTTTCAAGTTCTCAAGCTTTTCCTCAGGCCTCTGTAGTGTAGTAAATAGCAGTGCGTTCTCTGTCAGGAAGATAAATATGGCCAGCTCTAGGTGTGACAGAGCTGCGTGAAACCACATAGGCCCATGTTCTTCTGCACCTTGGTACTCAGTCTCCTTTGCTGGCTTCTTTTTTTTCCTTTCCTTAGCTCTGAGCGTCAGGGACAGCCTGATTTGTGAAGCTGCACCTTCTCCGTGAAAGAGTTGAGCAGGATGGCCGGGGCTGGTGGTGTAGCTGGCTGGGTCGGTCTGTCCCTGAGGGGAGACCCAGCCTGAGCTGCTGGTTTGTGGTTTGTTTGCTGGCACGGCCCTCCCCTGCAACGCGGAGGGAGGCTGCGCGTTTCGGTTGCTTCTGGCTTCTTTGGTTAGCCTGATCGTGACAAGTCTGAACAGGATTTCTTTGTGCTGTGCTCTGCCTGATAGAAGGAAGAGCAACGTTAGGAAGTGGAGTGCTCTTCTACGGCAGATTTTTCAATCTTTGCCTCGCTGCTGACTGTACCAGACGGTCAGCGGTGGGGAGGGCAAAAGAGGAGGCATTTGGGTGGAGAACAAGGGAGGGATGTTGCTGAGCCAGAGAATAAATACCATCACACAGGCCCTATGCAGCAAAGCCTTAAAGACCCATTTAGGTTTCGCTTCTGGCATAACACCTGAAATGTCCTAATGTGACTTGCGTGGCTCACTGTTGTTAAAATCTGTGTACTGAAGAGAAAGGCTGGAAGAGAACTGGCCCGGACAAGCAGAAGTTAAAAATGGAACGAGTAACAGAGAGGAGGTGGAATAGCTAAAGAGAATCTCTTCCTGCATGTTTTTCCTGCAATTCATGATTTCAGTGGACATAACGTGGTAAAACCAGTTAGCACAGAGTTGGATTCTGTAACAAAAATGTGGTAGCGCTCGCGTTTTTAAATTGTGGAAGTTGAATTTGCGGCATATAAAATAATTAATTACAAAGCGTAAGCTGCTTATCTGCCCAGGCCTGCTGAGTCCTGAAGAACACTTTAATATTGCCTGCTCTTGCACACATTTACAGCTTTTTGTCTTGAACGTCCAAGATCCTCCTACTCGTATCCCTAATCAGGGAATATTATTTTGCTCTCTGGCCCTTTTAGAGTTGGAGAGGCTTCTCACGTTAACTCTGCTCTGTTTTAGTGAGGGCGCTTCACAACTGACCGTTTCCATCCCCTCAGCTCCAGCCCTAGGATGTAAAATAGGTTGCTGTACAAGAAGCTCTTGCCAAATTCAACTAGAAGTGTTTCCAGACTAAAATGTTCCTAGGTGGTGGGTCCACTGTTAGTGTAAGGAAGGTGGAAATTGTTGGTTTCTAACAAGAACAGTGTCATGGGCCTTTCCAGTTTGCTTTACATCTGGGAGACTGAACCAGGTTAATGCAGCCTTTCATGGAGCTGCGTTGTTGGATCTAGCACAGCCAGGATAGCATCTAGCATCTGAAATGAATAAAAAACATCGTAGCATGGGGCCTTGCAGAATAATTCTCCTTCTCATCTTAGAACTTAAAATTTACGCAGGAAGCAAAGCGATGTCCAAGTCAACAAATGCTTGAGCGAATGCCGACTCACAAAATACAGTGCATTTCACGTCAAGTGTATGCCAAAAGGATCCTGAGGAGCCAGCCAGCCATTTCCCTTTTTGGGTTTGCTGAAGACACATCTGTAGCTTGTTTTGAGCCTGAGCCAGCCAGCTCTGCAGTCTGAATTATGGTTTTAACATGTCTTTCAGGATAGTTAAGATCTGACTTCCGCATCAGGTCAGCGGCTAGCGTTTGATGTTTCTTGCCAGTTGCACTTATTTGTCAGCGATTCGGAGTTTTATGCTGCTTGTCTGAGTGCTCAGACAGTAATAGCAGCAACCTCCCAGGCCACGAGTAGTTCACAGCAGAATTGGGTTGAGTTTCTACAGTTTCCAGGATTCTTGCGCAAGAATTAAAGGAGGAGAGCTAGAATGAGGCTTGTTCTGTGGTTGTGTCACATGTGAGCCCAGAAGTCCTAGTGCGAAGTACGTGGAAGCCAGCAGAAAGATTCTGATGGGCTCTTAGGTCGGCTTAATGAGATTTACCCAAAGGTTGTTCTGCCTGGGAGTGAATTTGTCCTGAAGCAAAGAGGCAAAGTTTTCATTCTCAAGCTGTACTTGAAGGGCCTCTAAATCCTTTTCTACTGTCTGAAAATGGTTCTGTTTCCTTGGTTTTTGAAGACGAGGCAAAAATACAAAGTGCACTTAACACGTAGGGGGGCATTTTTGGAAGCCTGCTGTGAGGTGTGGTTCAGCTTGCACTGACTAAAAGGGAGTTCTCTTACTGCTTTTTTGCAGTAGCAAAAAATGAATTGACTCCAAATGATTCCACTCTTTATGTGCTTCAGGCAGTAGAGTAGCGATACGTTATTTGCAGTTAATGTTACATGTACTTGTTTAACTTGATTAATGAACAAACTCGGTTGTTTTTCAGAGAATACAGGCCAAGAGTGCATGTTCAGTTTTTGGACAATGGTACCAAAGTATCTGCTCTGAATCCAAAGACATACGTTTTCGATCCTCAGAAGTCAGTTGGTGACCCTCAAGTGGACCTGATTAGAACAGTTAATATTCCTGCAGTGGTGAGTTCTCTTTCATTTCTGTGCTGGAGATCGTCCTCACACACTTCCTAACTAGCCTGGTGTTGCTTTGTACTGTCTCTCCCTCTGTGGTAGATAAACGTGATTCAAGAAGCAGAGAGGCAGCTTCTGTCTGGAGCCGATACTGCGTTCAGTTTTGGTTTGGACTGCTGTGGGTTTTTAAAATTACGTTCCTCCCTCGCCATACGCCCCTGCAGTGTTAGTTGCCTCTTGCGCTGAGAGCTGAGACACACTTCAGAGAAGAGCAGGAATCAGGCTTGTTGGGTTTCCCTGAGTAAGTGGAACCAGGGAATTGGTGATGTCAAATGCATAGGTGGAATTCTGACTTGGGAATGAGAGAGTGTGGAATGCTTGGAGTTATTTTTGTCAGAATAGGAAAAAATGCTTCCAAGTCTGCCTCTCCAAGTAAAAAGAAAAAAAAGGCAATTATAACAGGGGATACAACTGAATGAAAAAGTGCTCTTAGAAAAAACTTTTAAGTGAAAGTGTGCATCCAGAAACTGTGTGAGGTGAAAGTGCGCTGCAAAGGAAGTCTCATTTTGTTGATGAGAGGCAGACCATGATTTTTGGTCTCATTCAGCAGTAGTAGGAGAACAAGCAGCTCTAAAGCTGTCAGACCTTCCAAAGGAAATTAAACTGCTTTAAATCACTTGTTGTTTGTGCAACTAAGCCTTTACCCCTCATACTAGTTTAACTGACTTTATTTACAGTGTACATTCATTTCTACTTTTCCCTTCAGCATTTCCAAAAATAGCATGTCTGGTTTCACGAATGAATACATAAATACACTGTGTGTAGTAGTAGGTAGGATTCAGCTTACTAAAAGTTACAAACAGTACGGACACTGTGTTTATAATTCCTCCCAGGCATTTGAGTGGTGGTGAGCATTATCTCTTGTTCAGATTTTTGGCTGCGCTGTGCTGTAACAGGCAGTAGTAGAAGAACTACAGAGTGGTTTGCCCAAGGACAGTTCCCTCCATTGGTTTTGCTTTTTTAAAGGCACGTTGTAAAAATCACTTGTCAGCTAGAAAGGAAATTTTGGTGTTGTTTGCATTTTGGAGAAATTAGTATATTTGAAAAATAGCTTTAAAAAATGTAAACGCTAACTTGCAAAGGGTGAAGTTTAAAGCTGTAATATGCTTGAGAAATTCAGGCTGCTTAGAAAGCGGTTGAGCACATCTCGCTTCAAATCCATTCTTAAGACCTGGCGGTTAATGGCACAGAATGGAGCTGGTTGTGTGCCAGCACCGGGCTCCAAGGGAATCTGCAAAAGCGCATCCGTGTGGGAGAAAAGCTGCAGAACCTGTTAGCCAGCACATTACTTGACACGAGTGGAAATAACGAAACTGAAAATACAGCTTGAAGGTGTGCGATGCTGAAACGCGCCTGTGTGTCTGTGTTTGCGTGCAGCCGGTGGGATTTATTCTACGATAAATCTGACCATTGCTCCCTTATTCCAATCCCCTGGCAGACTGCGATGGAGTGGACCAGATCAACCCCTCTTCAGTTTGCCACCGAGATACTCCTGCTTCTGTACCAAGAATCCCTGTTTACGGTCCACACGGTTCATGAATTGCTTTGGGGCTACAAAGACAGGCTCCTGTCAACCATTCATCTTGTGCATCCCGAGATCGACCCAGTGTTTGGTTTATTTAATAAGGTAACGGAGAGGCCGGACTTTCTGATCCTTGAGGTGGGGAATGATGTCATTGCTACAGATTTCGGACTGTCACCACCAGTCAGTTGAGAAGGACGTGCCTGGAGCGCGGCCAGGAGGAAGGCTGCAGTTACAGAAAAAGGATGTTTCCTCTTGGGTTTTGGCTGGTTTTAGGCACTGGCTGATAGTGCAGCTCCGAGTGTTTTGTCTGACTGCCCTTTATTGGATATGGATAAGCTTTCCAAAGGTGGATGGAAACCACTCCACTCTCGCCTGTGCTCGTGTGAATAACGTGGGCTTTGTGGGGTGCGTTGTGCAAACTACTAGAAAAAAACGTCCTGAGCAGTTTCCTTAGTAGTTGATTGAAATGGTGTGTTATTTCTGTGCCGGAACCATTACTGGCTTCTGCAGTATTTCATTTTGGACTGTGGGGGCTCCTTCTTTCTTGGAGGTCATCTGCAGTCAGCTTATTTTATACTTTCTCTGTTTGTTTTTTTTTCCTAAGGGCTGGGTTTTTTCAGCGGCAAATTTCTAAGGAAGAGAAGGCTGATCTAATGGTATATTCCCTTCATTTGGGAAGTCCCAGACACTTGCACCTGATTTATATTCAAGGTGGAGTTTTATGAACCTCAGGGGCAGTCCATCACTCCACGGGTGGATTTGCAATGATGACAGGTTAAGCTCCTGCTGCGCTGTAGTAGTTCCCAGGCAGGTGTTACAGAGTGGCCTGATGAAAAACCCACGTTATCTCTTTGCAGATGAATGGAACCGATGACGGAGAATATGTTTTCCTCAGTGGAGAAACGAACTACCTTAACTTCTCGAGGATTGTGGAATGGAAAGGAAAGGAGTAAGTTTTTTTCCAGTGTGATGTGACCTCTGTCAAAAGCTGCTGCTTTGCACATTTTGGTTGAACCTAAGCATTGCTTACAAAATACAGTGTCCTTTTATTCTGAGGATGACAGCTCTTAGCAGCTGTAGCTTCAGACCAGCCCCAAAGTATTTGGGTATATATCACATAACTCTTTAAGACAGACAGCTCTGGCTCTTCAAGAGCAGACAGCTCCCAATACTCACCTAGGACACCATTTAGACCTGTTTTAATCCCCCTTTTTGTTAGCAGAGCTGAGGCACTGAGTGCAGTCTGATTCTCATTTGCTTAGACCATGAGCTCGCGTTGCCTGACTGCTGCTCAAACCTTACTGTCTTGACTTTGTTTTCTTCAGGTCGTTGAGCTGGTGGACCACAGAGGAATGTAACATGATTAATGGAACAGATGGGACATCCTTTCACCCACTGATTAGCAAAGATGAGCACATATATATCTTTTCTTCTGATTTCTGCAGGTAAGGAGAGGAGAATGTTGCTTAGACTTGAAAACAGCATTTATATCTAATCCTCCCAAGATTTCACATTAGGCTGGTGTTTTTCTTCCTGTGACTTTTTTTAAAAGTACGAGTGTTCTTTGTTTATTCATGGTTTGAAGGATGAGAGAGTTACACGGAAAAAAACCCCAAAGCAACAATCTGCATCAGGTTGAGGATTTGCTATTTCAAAATAATGAGAAAATTTGGAAGATGACTGGAGAGACACACTAGACTGCCTTGCAAGGCTAGTAATGAGGGAAATGGAAGGGTTGTTATGAACCTTGCCTGAAGCTTCTTTCCTCCAAAACCTTCCTCTGTGCCCTGCTGTTTTAGAGACCCCAGGTTGTCCTCTTCAGAGATTCCTAACTTGACATAATGTCAAGAAAATCTTGGTGTTTCCTTCCTCATGTTAGACCTTGTCTCCTGCCTTGTCTGTTTCTGTGCCAGCAACAAAACTAATCTGAAATTCTTTATTTAAATCAATACACTTAAACTTAAGTTGACATACAGGCAAAGAGACATTTGCAGCAGGTGTCAGTGTGTGTTCAGGACTAACAAATTTGGGGTTTCCTTCCTTGCAGATCACTTTTCCTGGTGTACGACAGCTCAGGAACAGTTACAGGCATCCCATCCTACCGCTTCGTGCCCTCTGCTATGGTGTTTGCCAACACAACGGTTAACCCAGACAACGCTGGATTCTGCGTGCCGCCAGGACACTGCCCTGGCACTGGTGTCCTCAACGTCAGCATCTGCAAGCAAGGTATGTGACCAGGCGGTGGAAACAGACTGGAAGGACATCAGTGGGGAACCTACTTCTTTCTGTCTGAAATGGATGAGGACAGTTTAGTGAGGCCTGCAGGGTGGTGACTGTGCTCAGTGAAATCAGTCACCAACGAGGGATGGTCTGGTTACAAAATGCAGTAGTGAACTGAGGGGATATTCCTGTGAGGTGCTGCCTGCTTCAGCTTAAATCAAGGAATTGGAAGGAAGTACCAGGATCTGTACTGAACAGCTTGGGCATTTGTCCTCTGCTTTTATCCGGGTAGCTGTTGCATCTGAGTGGCTGAATGAAAACAGTGCACAAGACTGGGATGCAAACCTGAGACGTGAAGCCACGATGATGCAGCACAAGGGAAAATAGAGCTTGTTCTTAAGACAGAGAATCCGAGTGTTGATTCTGTAGCTCCAGAGCAGGCTTTTTCTTTCCGTGTAAATGGCACAGTGGGAAGAGTTTTGAGACTCTGACTCTTTTAGGTGGTAACTCTGCATGTTTTCACATTCCAGGTGCTCCAATATTTCTGTCAGCTCCACATTTTTACCAAGCAGATCAAAAGTTTATAGAGAACATAGAGGGCATGCATCCAAAAAAGGAATATCATGAGACATTTTTGGACATCAATCCTGTAAGTGCAGCCTTTTTTCAAGGGTTATAGAGACAAATCCAACCACATGGGTTCAGGTCACCTTCAGTGCTGTGAATCGACATAATTTCATTGACTTCAAGGAAACTGTCCTAGTTTATGTGAAACTGAAATGTTTGTATTTGCTTGTATAGAGAAAACTTTGCTGAGACCACACCTGGAATACTTTGTTAAGTTTTGGGCTTCCCAGTTCAAGAGAGACAGGGACCGTCTGGAGAGAGTCCAATAGAGAATGATTAAGGGACTTGAATGTCTCTCCTATCAAGACAGACTGAGAGAACTGGAGCAGTTTAGTCTTGAAAGGAGATGGCTGAGAGGGGACTTTATTAACGTATATAAGTATCTGAGGCGTGGATGTCAAGAGGAAGGAGACAATCCTTCTCAGTGATGCCCAGCAGCCGAACAACAAATAATGGGTACAAGATAGAACATAGCAAGTTCCACCTCAACGTGAGGAGAAACTTCTTTACTGTGCGGGTGCTGGAGCCCTGGCTCAGGCTGCCCAGGGAGGGTGTGGAGTCTCCTGCTCTGGAGACTTTCAAACCCGCCTGGATGTGTTCCTGTGGGGCTGCCCTAGGGGATCCTGCTCTGGCAGGGGGGCTGGGCTAGATGATGGCTAGAAGTCCCTTCCAGCCCCACACAGTCTATGATTCTGTGATTGTGCCTGTGCAATGAGAGATGCCATCAGACTGGTAACAATGAGATGAAGTGGTTAAAACGTTTCTTAAAAGCAGATGAGGCTGCTTCTGTTCACGCTGCCAACATTTAAGTTTTGTCTTGACTATTTTCCTGAAGTTGAAGAAGCTGAGTATGTGGACCAAGAGTGCAAATCAATAAAGATTCAGTGGATCTTGGCCTCAATGTAGGTAGTGTGGAGTCATGAGAGATACAGAAGGGTGGTGCCTTCCATGGAAGTTTACAGAGTTGTTGATATTCTCACCATGAAATGTCAGAAGTAAAGGGAGCTTGCAACTGATGGTCCATGGATTTGCCCATGTGCTTTAACTCTGAGAGGCAGCTCAGCACCACACAGCTGCTCACTCACTGCCCTGCAAGCAGGAGGGATGAAATAATGAGAGGAGAGACTTCAGGTTGAGATTAAACCCCTTTAATAATGAAAAAAAAAAGAAAAAATAATCAAGGAGAAACAAATCCAAGAATAGTTAGTGATGCAAAAAAACTGTAGTTGGTCACCACTAGCTATTCTTTGAGCAACAGCAGCTCTGGCAAACCTCCCCACGGTTTTTCATTGCTGAGCATGATATCTTACGGCACAGGATGTGGCTCTGGCTGGTTTAGGTCAGCTCTCCTGGCTGTGTCCCCTCCCAGCTTCTCGCCCACCCCCAGCCTACTCGCTGGCAGGGAGTATGAGAAACAGAGGCGGCATTAAGGCTGTGCAAGCACTATTCAGCAATAACTAAAACATCCATATGTTATCAGCACTGTTTCCATCACAATTCCAAAACTTAGCCCGATACCAGCTACTATAAGGAAAATTAATTCTATCCCAGCTAAAACTGGTACAGAATTGATCTCTACATCCACACAGACAAGTGGAGGTTGAGTGAAAGAGCAAAAGCACTACCTGCCTAATTTACAGAAACAGTGCTCTGATGCATCAAGCTGTTATGTGTAGCTAAAACAGGAGGAAATTTAGTCTGGTGCAGATGCTGCTTGTTATCTGGTTTGGTGCCAGGTTCTTCCTGTTACTCTGCTCCTACTGACCCAGCTTTTTTGTGCTACCATAAAATGAGCTCTGCGTCTCCCACCCGCTCTCCAGACTCAATTTTGCCACTTGAATGAGGAAAATATTCCTGTGGATCCAGCTGCAGCTCTTGCTCACGTGGTGGCATTACTGAGGGAAGTATTTATCTCTGTGGCTGTACACTCCCACTGATGGGGTTCAGTATCTGGTTTTCACCTTTTAGAGAGAAAGGTTTGTCTCATGACAGACTGTAGTCTTTGCGACAGTACTTGGCAACCAGGACAAAGAGCTGCAGGTGGTAGCTTTTTCTAAAACTAGAGCTGGCTCTGGAAGAAAGGGCATCTCACTGTAGCCTGAGTACAAATTTGCACAGCACAATGGCACCTTTATCTCTGTTGCAGCCTCCCATGTAGGTAGGAATGTCGGTATGTGAGTTACAAGAGTATCTTGGGGAAGGGAAATAAATAATAACCTTAAGCGAGTCTTGTCTCACCTTGTCAGGTCCACAGCAGTGTAAATATTAGGCTGTATTCTCCCAGTTCCTGTTATTTCACATTTACTTTTTTTTTTTTTTGACACTCTTGATTTCTTTTATTCCCCAGCTGACAGGGCTTGTCCTGCAAGCAGCCAAGCGGATGCAGATCAATGTTCACGTTAGAAAATTACCTGAATTTTTGTAAGTGTTCTCTGCTCAGTTTTGCAGAAATACCGTTCCCTCTGTCTTGTGGCTTTCTGACATGTTGCTTTACTCATCACCAAAGCTGTGTGATAGCTATTCTTCCTACTCACCTTCTGAGCTGATGGTTATTGGCACAGCTTTGCTGTATATTATAACTAAAAAAAGTATTCTGTCTGCCCAGTCCTCTTGGGAGAGTTGGTGATGTTTCTTCAGAACAGCACCGCCTTGTTTCCTCGTGCCCAGGAACTATTACATTAGCACAACTTAAGAGTAAGCTGTTATTTCACGTGTGCCAAATGTTGGGGGGGTTTTGCCACTGTGCACATGTTGCTTGGACAATAGTTTCTGTGTTTTACAAATAGGAGTAACCTTCGACATCCGATTAGCTTA